GACGGGGAGGGGGGAGAGACGTGAGAAGAGGGAGGTGGAGCTCTTACTACACAAGGAGGACATCGAATCCACGATCTGCGTGCACTCCCAACACCGCACATCGGTCATAATCAAGTCAGCTCCAGAAAGAATGTGGACTAAACGTTGTTATTGAGAATGTCGTGTAATCAGTTGTTACCGGGGGACTACGTTTCATTGGAGCGAAGAGAAACACATCCGTAAGGTCATTTAGAGCGGCGAAAAAGCAAGGCAAAAAAGAAACAGGAAAAACAGGGGAAAAGGAAAGAAGCACGATTATCAGTGGCGTATTCTAATCACCCGGATAACTGTGTTCGTCCTGCTGGTCTTTTTGAAATATCTTGAATTGAGAATTGAGCTTTTAAGGCAAACCACACGACAGCCGTCATATTTGGCCAGCAATATAGTCGGGCAACACAAACAATTAAATGAAGTAGACGGGAAAGACCACATCACACGAACTATTAACCACCAATTCTTTAATCAATTTCACAAAAGAAGCATGCCTTTAATATGTTACATAGGATTATGGTAGAAATTGAAGTTGGGTTTTGAAGGCCTTTTGGACTGCAAGTACAAATAATAGTAAAAGTTTTACGCCCCTTTCGATTCAGGTTAGAACATTTTGGAAGCCACCTTCGACCCTGCCCACCAAAACCTACCCGGGTTAAGGAGGCATAAAGTGTCCGAGTAGACAGACAGAGATATTCATGCGTAATCCATCCCAGTCGGGAAACGAACCCAAGTCTTCTGTGTGTAATAACGAAGAGCTCAATGGCTACAATACAGACGCCGTTCCCGGAGGGAAGAAGCGAAATAAGGCTAAAGGCAACGTCTGAAAGAAAAGTTCAACGAATTCCACTTTGAATTACAACAGGCACATACATCGACAAATTATTGGTCATTTCATTTTGTTAGACCAAAAAACAAACAAACAAACAAAAAACCACAGACAAACAAAACAGAGAACCAACAGAAGTAGGACCTGGCAGTGGCATCCTCCAGCCACCCAGTAAGTCTAAGAGGCTGACCACCGGGACGGACAGGTTTTCTTTGAGTACCAGCACACACAACTTCCAGGAGAGAGGACCATGAAAGAGTGGCGGTCAATAACCAAAAAAAGCAAAAGGCTTCCCTGTCTGCACTTATTGGCTTTTTTTATTTATTTATTTTTTTGGGGGGTAAGTGTTTTACGGAGCTCGCGCAACTGCATAAGGTCATATGAGCGCGTGGGACACACCAAACACTTTCAGTTGGTAGAAAATTCTAATTTTTGACCAGGTGACGGCCAAAGCCTACTCTTTTCGATTTTGGACCACCAAGGGATCTTTAACGTGCGCAACTTGCACACGGGACCTCTGAGATTTTTCGCCCTTGTCCGAGAAGGCTAGGTGTAGATCTTACCTACCATAAGATCAGTGGTGTGGCTGTAAGACAGCAGAAAGAAGAAGCCAAGGAGGAGCAGTAGAAAGGCTGCAGAAAGAGTCAGGAGCCCAGAGGAGTGGGGCAAAGGAGGTAAGGGGGAGGGGAGAAAATGGAGACGAAGGCAGACGACAGAACATTGTTAGAGAGCACGGAAGGAAGTGAAATGAGAAAACTTAAGTGAGAATTCCGAATTCGAAACCGGGACCTATTCTGTCCCCGTCATTTTATGCAAGAAATTTTATGAAATTAAGCAAACTGAGCCCAAAAATGTGAAATTATGGAATTCTGTTAATTTTAAAACAGAATGATAAAGAAAAATAATCAGAAATTATGCAAAAAAAGATCAAACTTTGCTAAATTATGCGGGGTGCATAAAACCACGGGGACAGCCTATTGAATGAGAGGCAAACACTTAACCTCTAGGCCACGAGAGCCCCCTCTACCCTTATTGAGTGGGTGGTTGTAGGTCGCCTCTGATAAGTCCTATACTTCTTTACTCTCCCTCTGTTGTTTCTGTCTGTCTGTCTGACTTTTTCCCAGCACTAAATGACCATCCTTGTGCCGATATACTTCTCTTAACCTCAAAGAAAAGCAATCTTACTCTTTGTGTGGACTGAGAGTACATTAACTTTTTTTAAATTGTTCTCGTGTGGTTATCTTAAAAGGCGGGGGACTCCGAGCTTACTCAAATGTCCGAAAGCACTGAGCAAGGAGCAACAAAAACCCTTCAAACTTATATAAGCTTTCGAAATCTTGTTGAAATTCGAAAATAAAGGACCCCTTTCAGAGTTGTGCTGCTTGCATGCCGTACAAACTCAAATAACGGTGCACAAAACAGATTAATAAATCTACAGGAAACAATTTTCCAACAGGCATGGGGAAGATTGGAGGGTAAAGACACAGACAGAGAAGGTGAGCGTTCTTCTGATGTTGTTGGCGTTGATGACGCTGTTTGCTTACTTGTCTTGTTTGTTTGTGTGTTTGTTTTTAAAGGGGATTGGGGAACAGGACAATTATTAATTCAATGTAGAGACACAAAATACTTATGTTTCAAAGACACAACATTTCTTTGCACAATGTTCCATTATGATATTAGAGAGGCCACTTTTGACATCAGAAAGGAAGAAAAGGAGGAGAAGAGAGATAAGATGAGGAAGCACTTCAGACGAGTAGGAGTAGGAGTGGTTGCGAACCCAGATCGACATTAACTTTCCCACCGAGCAGAAGCCGTTGCCTTTGTGAATGGACGTACTGTGAGGGAAGGGAAGGTATCTGTAATATCTCTCTCTCTCTCTCTCTCTCTCTCTCTCTCTCTCG